AACACTCCTGCAAGAAAGGATGGTGAAGTTCATGCCTCTTTGAAGGTGGAGGATATCTAACAGGGATATGAACCTGGAGAAACACCAAAAATTTGCAAATCAGTTGCTCCCTTCTTCCAAACTTCTTTAGTGCAATTTAATACACTGCTGCCAAAGCACACGAGATAGTGCACAGTAGCTTATAGATGCAGCTCAGCATGTACCTCCTGCATGTTTATCTTAAACTTCAGCCTAAATCTATGGGAATAAATTTCCGTTCTGAGACTGCATGGACTTTTGGCTGCATGCCCTTACATCTAAGGCTAGATAAGACTAGACATCAATTAGAGCATGCAGAAGGGACTGCTCAGCCTCCAGAAACGAGTCAGCATACTGCCTATTTGCAATCTCTCTGTGCTTTCATACATGTTGTCTTTGACTCCTGAATACTAAGCCACCTTAAAGAGGAAAAATGTTACATAACTGCAGATGCAATTACTCAACAAAAAATTTATTTACTTTACTTTTATATGATTTGATGCAGAAATAAAAATCCCTCCAGTATCTTCTCTTCTTCTTTTGGGCATGGATATGGATCTGATTAGTCTAGTAAACACTCAAAAATGTCCACACAAAGAACCTGACAGTTATGAAATACCACAAAGATCTAAACAAGAAATAGAGAGGGATAAAAAAAAAAAAGGGAATTAGGAACTCATTTCAGGTTTTACACAGCTGAGTAATTTTACTCGACAGCCACCAATTTAAGAAGTCAGGTCATGCTATAAAACATTGGGGAATACTCTTAGCACAGGAGTCAGAGGAATTATTCACTATGTTCAGGTCTGTCTTCCCTTGGAGCGTGGCTCAACAGGTTCTCAGCAGAATGAGGCGAAAAAGGACAGGCAACAAGAGCATCTTCCCCTGATTCAGTAAATCAACACATACATTTTTGTATCATGCTAAATGTAAGGCAGTCCCTGAAATTAAGAAATGTAGTGAAAATCAACCCAGAAATATACACCTTCCCAATGCAGTCTGATCTCCCATGACAAGCTGCCAGGCAAACCTGGCATCTTGTTCAAGACCTTATCCTAAGGCATAATACCAAATCTATCAAAGGCAGCAGAGCTGGCTAGCCCTAAAATTCTGCTCATTTTCTCTAAGATTTACCTAGAAAACCACAAATCACAGAAATGTGTCATGGAAAACACTTGTGACTACTTCCACCAAGAGAATCTTTTATACACAACTCAACCCATTATTTGGCTGCTCTTCCTTCCCCTCTGGTTGATTCCACCAGATATAATTACACATTCTGGACTCCTGCAAAGCACAGAGCTACGAAAGTCATTGCCTTGCTATCAGGTATCTCATATAGCCTCAGAAAAATGTAAGAGAACTCAGAATCTACTGCAGCAAATTCATTAAGGAGGAGACTTCAGGAAAAAAACCCTGAGTCTCATACATGTCCGTAAACTTAGAAAAAGAAAGAATTAAGGAGCAGATAGTTTATAGAAGCAGCCGGAATGCCAAGCCTGTCAACTGTTATATTAATATATAACATGCTTTCTTTGAGCTCTTTTAAACTAGAAATCATTAGTCAGTAATACGAATTACTTTTTTAATCTATATATATGTACAAAGGTATAAACACACCTGTGTGCATTCATTTAAGTGCAGATAGATAGATAAATAGATACAGAGTATACCTATATAAAGGCAATACGAATTCAAAGCTGCTCAGGCAGGAGGGAGTCATCCAGACACAGAAAACGAAGGAGAAGAAATCAGTCCAAGCCATGCTGGATACAAGATTTCTATACTGCTAAGGCTTGATGTCTTTTGGCAAAAGCAGGCAAGACAATTAAGCAAATGGGAGACATAAGGAGAGCTCACCACAAGGAAGAAGAAAAGACAGGAGCTCAAACACTTTGACCAGTTGCACAGATAGCTCCAAGAAACAGCTGATGGAGAGCTCCAAATTGCTACAAACCAGGTATACACTTTTGATGCAGTTAAGGAATGGTCTTATGAGCAATTTCAAATAATGTTCTTTAGAATTTTTTTCCATTTGATACTTTTCCAGTTTTCTAATCAAGAATGAAATCCTCTGTTTTGCTAGAATAAAGCCAGTTTTAAGGTTACAAGGTACTTTTAGACCCCGGGCAATTAAAATGAATTAAAGTGACTGTTAGGCACATGGCTTTCAGTGAGCGCCAGTCTGACTGGATTTGGAGAAAACCCTTGAGGTACCTCTAAATCAAGACAGATTTAAGCTTCTCAGATACCAGCCAAAAAAACAAAGAAAGAAAAGTCTCTGGGCTTAGAGCTGTTGGTGTCAAGCATCAGGGAAGAAGGGAGAAGTCCAAGCAACACAAATAGGTGAAGTAATCACAGTGGCATGAAAACCTTCATGCAAGAGAATGCTTGATATATAAGTATCAAAATTTCATTAAAGGCATCAGCAGTAAAATATTTACCTCTGAGATTTTCCCATCACTGCTAATTAGCACAAACACTGATTAATGGCAGAGGCCTGCTCAGTTCTTCACAAAGACAGAACAATTGCAAGCCCCACTCATCACTATGCTACCACATATTCTACTTTACATTCCTTGGATTTTTACATTACTCTTCCCACTGGACTTGGCTTCAAGAATCAGTTTATAGAAAGATCTGGGTACCCACCAGATAAATCTGAAACTGATTCCTACATGTTCTTTCTGGTAACCAGATGGGAGATGACACTTTTCTCCCATCTCCCCTCTCCAAAGAGCCAGTTTGATTACAAGGGTAATATGAGGGTAAAAGATGTTACTGCTTCCCGAACTGACAAAACCATGACAAGAAATGTTGCTCCTCCTTCTCAGATGAGCTTCACAACACCAGTTTGCTGCTGTTCAGAGCTTTTCCCAAACAGCAGAGAAACTCCAGCCCTTCTCCTCCTCCTGTTACGTCTCAGTCCATGGAGGAAAAGCATTGGCAAGTTGCTGTGTTAACATTCAGCTTGTGTTAGCTACAGCTTCTCCTGCAGGGGTTTCCCAAGAGCTGCAACAAATGGGCAGGAGTCATGCATGCCACTACCCAGTTATCTTCACATGCTGCCACCTACATGGAAACACTGGCAAGCCAATTATGTATCATTTTGTATTGAACTGCAAGAGACCTTACAACCTGAACTGCAACATTACATTGCTGATGTTCTTCTGGGTGCACCCTGGCCCTAGGGACTGGTTCACATTTGTCCCATTTTGGAACAAGGCAGCAGTGGAAATCACAAAGGCACAGAGCAGAGGCATGAAGAGAGCAGAAAGTAACAGGAAAGAAACTTGTCAGTGAAGTATTAAGATTCATTGGCCATGGATAGTGACTGCATTTTTAAAAGCAAAAGTAGTACTGCCAAGAATCAGCCACGTCGAGTTGAAATAACAGAATGGAAAATCCAGCCTCAAGCTCAACATCAAGTTAAAAGATTTCCAAAAGAGTTTTTCTCAAGTTGCTGTTACACAAAGGCTCCTGGGAAAGTGTTCTGAGCAGTTTTAACACATCCGCTGTATGCAGGAGGTTTCTCAAACCAATTACATAAATAAGGCAGTTGTCTTCTGCTTGTCCCATGAAATTCTACTTCACTCCAGTCAGGTTACAAGCTCTTTAGAAAAAAAAACCCAAACAAAAAAAACCACCAAAAAACCACCAACCCATAAACCAAGGCCTCCCTTCACAGTATTTCCCTTCTTGTACTCCTGCTGCTTGAGGAATTTGTTATGAACACAGTACAGTTAAAAAAACCCCACACTGCACAACCAACAAAGCAGCCACAGCCATTCAACACTAAAAATGCTTGCTATCTCCAGGCAAGAGCAAGGGAGGAAGGGAAGGACTGACCAAAAAACACAATAAAACCCTTAAATCATATTTCTTCTTGATTCCTCTGAAGTGGTTGTACAAGCTTTCCATAGGCACAGGCAAGGCACAGGGCCAAGTCCCTGCCAAAAGCCTCTGAGAAGTAACTGTAGAGCTCCTCCAATTACCCTCTATGCACTGCACAAGACTGCAGTGACTTGCCACCACCAACTAGTCCTGGAGACTCAGCTCTCTTTTTGGCTCCAAAGGTCATGCAGTGGGTGGGTTGTCTCTCCCATTCTGCCAGCCCACTTCGTGAAACTGCAGTTAATTAAGACCAGAGGAAGTTCAGAAGGTCATCTAACTCATTTCCCCACCTCACAGCTTACATTAACCTCCACATGGGACAGAATGACTTTTTTTTTCCTCCATGGATGACCCTGCTTTAAGCATAAGGCTGGACCAGATGCCATCCTGAAGTACATTTCACCCTGAATTTTCCTATGATTTGTAAAACGCTGATAGACACTTAGACAAGGATATAATTTCACATTAAAACTAAACCTTGCAATCCCTTCTTAAAAAACCCAAGGAACTTTTAAACCTGGACTGAACGAAAACAAATGGCAGTGTCTACTTGTTGAGCTTCATTAAATCCAGCTATCTGCTCCTTCTTCTGGAGCATAAGCATTCTGACAAATGCTACAATCACATGATCACACATTACTCTTTCCTCTGGGCTTTGAAACTCAGCCTGTATGTGGAACAGACCCACAAGGAAGGGGGACAGAAGCATACAGAGACTGGGTCTGGGAAAAGCAATGTAAGTGCTTTAAATCTAAACTGCTTAACACTGAATCCTAGAAAACATATCTGCATGTATAGAAAGGTAGTGGTAGAACGTGTAAACAAAGCCCATCTGTGATCCACTAAATTGAGGCAGCGTATATCCAAATCTGTTGCACTATTTCTGTGCTTTACTGATAACACTACTCCTTAACGATCACTTCCATACCAAAAAAGATCTGCTCCAGTATGACCTATTGGGCACCACTATAGCATTTGCTCCACGTTATCATGTCTGTTATTGTCACACTCTTCTCTCTAGAAATTCAAACAGTTCAGTTAAACCCCAGATGGTTACCAGGAGGCATTGATTTGTTTCTCATTCTTACCTTCTCTCCACTAGAGTAGAAGAAATAACGCAATCGGACAATGTTACAATGATCCAACTTTCTCATAATCTGGAGCTCTCTGTTCTGAAACAAGAAGAAAGCAAACAATTAGGAAAACTCTGTGAGAAACGTTAAGGCACCACAGCCAAAGAACAACTGAAGTTGGAAAGAAGCAACAGCTTTCATGTGTTTATTAGTTTTTATTGCAATTACTTCATCACTGAAAATACTGCCAGCTTTGAGTACATTTCCCCTCTAAAATAAAGTCCACAAATCCATCACGAAATCCAAGAACCACCTACTTGGATTATCGAAGGTTCAGTGGTAAAAGGCAAGAGGACTAGCTTTCCATACATAATACCATGTATCAGCCAGGAGGGTTGGAAGCCTAACCCCCTTGAATACTGTAAAAATAATGCAAACACTGTAAAAGCAAACATAACATTTCCACCTACACGCCTGCCCTCCTCCACAGTGAAAAACAGGTTTAGTAAAAAGATCTTTTCCTCTACCATTCTCTTTGCAACATCAACTAAAAACACCTGAAATGGAATAGGCAACTCACTTTCCACTTCTGTTCAACCAGGTTTAGACAGACAAAATAATTTCCCATTTTCTGTGAACCTGAAAAAGTTGTTAAAATTACAGGCATGATAAACTGGGGACTTTACTGCAATATCCATTATAAATGAGGCCCTAATAAATGAGGGATCTTATAGCCTAACAAGATAAAAACAAGTGAAATTTTGAATTGCAGGTATGAATAGAAACAAGCAAGTAAAATTAGCACGGCTATGTATGTTATACTTCATTCCACAGCTGTTGCTACAATGCTCCTTTTTCCTATGGTTACATTTACACGGCACTGTTTTTCCTTCCTCAATTACTATACAATCTGCAGCTTCAAAAATAGAAGGTATTGCACATTTTACTTTGATCATGGGATTGTTAACTATGCATCCTAATCTAGCTGGACTAACACACTGGTCCTACTAGCATCATTAACTCTAGCCAAGTTCAGGAATATTTGGGAAGAAAATTCTTTAACCATCACACATTTTCATACTTAAAGGCACAAAGCTAACGCCTACTTTGTGCAGTGCTGCTGCCAAAGCAAGGATTTCAGATTCTGTGTATCAGAAAGTGATGTATGGTGGCTGTCACTGGTTAATGGTTAAGGAACTCTGCAAGAACCCTCAGAGCTACTAATGTGAACATGGCTACAAACTCCACTTTTAATTCCTCTAAGCCATGTAGCCTTAAAAAAAAAAAAAAAAAAAAGCAATTCCTCTAAGCCATGTAAAAGCCTTAAAAAAAAAAAAAAAAAAAAAGAAGAGGTGCTAGATAGAATGCAGTATCATTAATCCTATCAACCCTGCTCCCCGCTGACTGAAAAAATACTTCAGTATTAGTCAGCTCCTTCCAAACATGAGTGACATCTCACACAGTTATCAGCTGGCAATTATCCAGCGAGTAGTTAAGGAGAGAGCAAGTCCTTCCCTGAGCCTGCCTGGCTTCTGAACAGATTAAAGCCTAAGACCGTTAGGTGCATACCAAGACAGACCTATCCTGAAGGATGAAGAGAGAAAGTAAGAGAAAGCAAGGAGAGACTTCTGAGGCTTTCACGGACCTCCTGATACCTTATGGAGTGAAATCATTAAAAGGAATACAGACTTCGCCACATAACCTCACCAATCAATCTCACGTCTCACAGTGAAAAGCATTCTCCTGGTAGGAACAAGAGACCAGATATTCTCCACTTACTCATTCTTTATTAAATGCTATCAAAAATAAGTCAATTTTGAGAGTCATGGCTGGGGTTCCTGTGATTTATGGCACAAGTCAAACTTCAGACCAACAGAAAGATCTCATCCTCACCTTATCCAAACCACATGCCACTGCTGGCTCAGTGGAGTCTCCCTGGATCTTAAAATTTGAGGCAGATTTCAACTACTGAGTCAAAGTAGAGATGGCTCTACATCTCACCAGTTACTGAAACATCTATTATGACAAAGGATTAAATTCTCCAGTTGGCTTTTACGGCACTTAACAGCATTATTGTTGGACTGAACCTAACACCCCAAGTTCCAGCACCTCAACCAAATTCCACCAGCAATTCCTAGCCCAACACATGGCAAGTAATTTATTTCTTCTTCCCTTTCTCCTATTGACTTTGAGATGGGAATAATACCTTTTAACTCATGGACTTATGGAAGGAACATACATACACTAATCATTAATGTGCAAATATTATTTTGCCAGTATCTCTACGAGCTCCTTAAAATACCCATAACATACTCTAAGTCAGGTTATCGCTCCATGTTCTTTAGATAGTATGGACATGCTGACTGGATACGGGGGGGGGATCATCAAACGTCATTCTAACACTAGGCTGAAGTTCTATTTATACTCTGGTATCTCAACCTAGCACAAAAGCACAGCCTGTGCCCACTTTGATGCCTTTCACTCTGATCCATCTCTTTCGGCTCTCATCCTGACCATCTGCTGCAGCGGCACAAAGAATGTTTCAAGAGGTGCTAATATCAGGGATAAGTCATAAACCAGTTACACAGTAACCTATATCTTGCGTCCTGTGACTAGACAGAAGGAAACAAATCTAAACTGTCATCTTAGTCAAACAGTCACCTCAGCTACCTCAGAACCGACCTGATTGCTAATCACCACTCCCTGGTGGAATGAAAACTGGAAATACCCGAATGGCTGCGAAGCTCCAATGGGATGTGGCAAGGGAACAGATACTGATGTTCACGTAACAGACTGATGCTTCAAAGAAATCATTTTTTTTTCCTCAGGTAAATATTTCAGGTAGTCTCACTTTACCATGCATTTCCCCGTACACATCTTTAATAAATAACAACCTTTTCCCAATATAACGTGGATTATTAATTACCAGTGCAGAAATGCATAGGGGGGAAGGGGAAATACTAGACTATAAGCAGGGAACATTTAGTGAAGTGAACAGTGACAGATGTCCTACACAAAGTACAAGAGACAAAACACATGTCTAAAGATAATGCAAACTAAAACCATTTCAAAACATGCTGATGAGAAAGGCTGACAGTGCATAATCAAAATACAGGGCAAATGAAAACATAAAGCTCATGCTTATCCTTAACTCATCATTTTTGTCTTCCAAGAGACATGGATGTAAATTCAGGGACTCAAAGAGGAAGTTATTCTTTCCTGTTCTCCCACTCATTTACATGAAGGAAAGGATTTAGTTTTCTTACTGAACGAGTGCACCAGATCTGGTAAGCACTGAAGAAAGCAATACCCTTCAGCACCAGCCTTGCCACAAGAGAGGACTCAGCAGACATCTCTTCACTGGAGCATGTGCTCCTGCAGCACATGTCCCTTTGAGAAGCCGCAAACCAATGGGACTATGAACAGATGACTCAGCAAATTTCTGATGCAGTTCGATTTCCTTATCTAAAATAGAATTCTTTATCCACAAGGCAAAGGGCTGACACACAACTCCAGAAGACTGCTTTACCACCAGCACATTTAAACCCTTCACTAGTTCCTGAAGAAAACCCCATGTGACAAAACCCCGTTCACTTACAAAGACAACTTCCCTAGACCAGACTGCCTCTTATCTCTGCTCTATATTGAAGAACACTGGTTGCTCATCAAAGTTAAATATTTGGTTAAAGATTGCCAAGACATCAGATTTATAACTTCAAAGCACATCCAATAAAGCTCATGCAGGAAGATTCATGCCCTCTCTCCAGAGTTACAACCCCAATCCCCCACAGCTGTGCTAACGCAGTTGATACAAAACCACCAAAGCAAGGTCACTTCTGCCTCACTACTATAATCTGCTATTACAGACTAGGATAACCATCACTCCTTGCCACACACGCTGCCTTCCCTCCCCATCCAGGGATTTCTAGAACTAAGCCAGTTTGCATTCATCACTCCTAATCTGACTCTTTGCCTTCTCCCCTCACAACATTCATCCTCCCCCACTTCTCCCTCTCCTCCTTACAATGCTATAAAACTACTAGATCATAAGAGATGATGCTTTATGGACCTGCAATTTCCTGAACTGGACTAGAGAAAATCAAGTTGAAAGGTTTTGTACAGCTCATGTCAGCATGACATTATCAATATATACCCAATGAAGTGTTGAAATATCACCTGGGTCCAGTTCAGAACAGAATTCCTCAGTTTTCTTAGCTAAAGGGCATGCTGGGTTTTGATTTATCTTTTTTCCTTCTGAACTGCCTTTTTATAGTCTCATCAAGGTTCTTTGAGGATTATGTTCAGTGCAGATGAAATGGGAGAAAGTAGAAATTGATATTTTTGTTCTGTGTCACACCAAGAACATGACCTGGTTATTATGAACAGATAAAATTGTGTATACCTTGTCATTTTAAGAGAGGATGTATTTTTGATGGAAAGGCAGGATAAGCTACCAACCTAATTCAACAAGGAACTTCAGCATCAGTCTTCTTGTTTAAATCAAGTATGGGCAACAACTCAAGTTAATTCTAATTTTTGCACTTTTTGAACTATTTTTTATTCTTCTTGGGGTAGTACCTCCGAATGATGAAGCTCAGTATTTTGTGTTCTTCTCTAAAGTTGGAAAACCAGAAAATGAAGGGTAATTGCATGAACAGTGGCATTGCAGAATAGACAGGATAGGATAGAAGCAGCACACAGATTCAAATTTCTCAGCATACACACTCTCTCTTCTTGCACATCATGTTTACAGTTTCCTCTCTTCCTCTGCTTCCACCATTATCTTCTCCCTTCCACAACATTTCTTATACTTCAGTAAAGGTTCTCCCACAGTGAAGAGTAGGAGCAGAAAGCCATGGGCAAAGCTGGGGAAGAAACTAGTTTCCAGCAGGAGGCATGAAGACAGTGATAAAGCAGCAGGGCTTGCTTTTTTTTCCCCTGCTTCCTTCCACTTGAGCAGCCACAATGACTAGTCACGTCCACTCACCTTCACCCACTGCACTGCTGAGCCTGACCCAAGAACAGGCTCAGGCTGAAACCATGAGAGATTTAAAGCATTTCTCATGCAGCAGCAAAAAAGCTCTTTATCCTGACCATCT